TTCGTAAAGACATACGTGAACGCAACGCTGCAGCCCCGTAAAGAAGATCTGATTGCTGAAGCTCTGCTCTGCTGATTTCTTCTCGATGATATTGATTATCGCTCTAGCTTATGGCGCACGCGCAGTTACGAAAACAAATTTAGATGTCGTTGATTCGAACAAAAGAAGCAGGCGCATAGGTCGATGCACTGGCTTCAAAAAGGAGACAATACGGCGTGATCTTAATGGCCAGAGGGACTATACGACTGTGGTTCCATTTCGTGCATGCTGATACCACCAACCATCAAAATACTAACGAGTATCGAGGCATCTGCTCACCCTTAATTTTAAGTCTTCTCGCCGATGATTTACTTGAATCAATTCTAACACCAGCACACAATGAAAATTGAAAGGAATTGGTTCGACCTTCACCCAACGATCATTTGGCAAATCCGGCGATCAACTCTGAGCCTGTCCGGAACTGATGCTCGTTCGGAGCCGAGGCTCGTCCGGAGCCGAGGCTCGTCCGGAACTGAGGCTCGTCCGGAGCCGAACCGACGAGGCTAAGGCTAACGGAGCCTTAGCCTCATCAGAGCAGGCTAAGTCTGCACTGAACAGTGCGCAGTCATGAGCCAGCAAATAATATGCGTGCGCGAAATACACGTGATATGAGCTTAACCGAGAGGCATCGCGTGGTGCAGCATTCATGCTTTTTTCTGCGTGTCTTGACATCCATTTTGCCGTCTCAATTAAACGGCATTGCCTGAGATGATGTGTTGCTTATATGCCTCGTCTAAGCAGCAAATCAACAAATAACGTCAGTAATGAGTAAACGCTGTCAAGTTGCTGATCTAATATGGGCGATCGCTGCTAGGCTTCTAAGGTCGGTCACTTCTCCAGCCGCCCCATATCCACTGCGGACAACCAGCCGGCGCTGCCGAACACGTACCATTTTGAAGCCATGCTACACTAAAATTACACCATATCAGAGCCGCCGCATGCCAAAGCGATGTCGTCTAAACAGCATACGGTACCAGAGGCATGTATTCCCAAAAGGACAGAGATGCAAAGGTATCAAATGTGAAAAACAAGCCAGGTCAGGTTGTAGTCGGGCTAACGCATGACCAGCGTGGATTTAAAGGCGAGGTTCTGCGTTGTCATACACCGAGGAGAACTGCGGTCTTCGGGGAACAGACCTGCGTGTCCTCAGTTCCGCTTCTTACGATAAGTGAATAATTCATGTGAGCAGGGAGGCCGGCTGATCGTGATTCAGATTCGGCGGAGATCCGAAATTGTCAGCTTAGGCCATAGAGCCGATGTGATCTCAGGGGAAGAGCTGTTCGATTTGTACGTCAAGATAACACGTCACTGATACCAACAGCAAGCGTTACATGCGGGCTCCCACGACGCCGTGCGGGTTGCAATGCTTGCTTTCTCAAAGGACTAGACGCAGGATGTGTATAGTCCTCGGGTTTCGTCGTCGGCTCATCACGTGACTTATGTTTTGTTTTGTTTTTCCTTAGAGCCCCATCGCTCGGCGGTGGTGGAAGCCAGCGGCAATCCTGGGGGCAGCCAACACAGCACTCGCCAAGAAAATGGAGCGGAGAAAACAACGCACGCGCACTTCCGCCCTCGGCAGTCGCGCCAGCCTGATGACCGCCGAGTGTTCGGACACCGCCCCCTCGGAAACAAGGGCTCTTTAGCAGGGCGGCCGCGGGCGCGCTTTCCATCAATTTCCTCTCGAATCCGGCGCACATTCATCGGCTGGCGACGGCCCTTGGCTCGGACCCTGTTGTTATCCCGGCCCTCGTGCTTCGACAAATGGGCCCGGGCGGAGGCGCGGGCTCATCACAAATGCGGGTCTTCGTGCCGCGGGCTCAGAATGGGACCGGAGGCGGCGTCAGCACTTTCAGGAGGAGCGCTGTCGACGGCTTGCCGGCCCGTCATGGCTTAGTGGCAGCCTGCGCGCCGGCAGGCTCCAATGTCCACCGATGTGGTGGGGTGTGCGGGAGGAACGCGGCATGCCTGACGCGATGAAGTCGGTTGGTCCATGCTGGTTTATCTGTGGGTGCTGTTTTGAATCAGCTGAGAGACTGCAGGACGGCTTACACCGCTCAAAGACGTGCTTGATTCAATGTGAAAAAAGCATCTGTGCTCTAAGAAAGCAGAAGAAGTACAGAACAGAGTGCTTACAAAACGTATGTGATGATCAAAGCATATGTAATGTAACATATGTAATGTAATGTAATTAACATATATAATGTTCGAAACATATGTAATGTAACATACGTAATGTAATGTAATTAACATATGTAATGTTCAAAGCTACCACGTAATCGAAGAGGAAAAGACACACATGTTTGCTTATATTGCCAGCTCCTCTGCCCTTAGCGCGCTCCTTGGGTTAGTTTATTCCGTCGCTTGGTTGTGCTGTTGGCCATTTTAAAACGGTCGAGTAACAATCGGAAGTTGCCCTCCAATGGACATTCAGTGCACGCAGTCATACCCCACGAGGAGTGCACATGCAGTAGCAAGTGGTACGACGGTTACGCCTGTCGGATACCAAAATCAAAATATGACGGAAAAGCTGCGGTTACGTCCCCCTAAGCGCCGTGAAGCGCGTGAACCTGCTCTCGTAAACCGCATAAATCTCGCCGCTCGCGTAAATGCCTCGCTCAAACTTAGGGTGAAGTTTTTTTGCAGCGACGTTGGCCATTTCGAGGAATGGATCATTAATGTGAAAATAGTGTTCATATTTGCACAATGTAATCGCCATTACCATCAGCCGCCCTGAGGCTGAGTATGACGCCGATAGTTCAAACTAGGTTAAATTCCTGCCGGTGGCTATCAAATAGTGCTTCAGAGTCTCGCAAATAACGGAATATGCCCGCCCCCACTCAGCGATATTAAAGTAGCCTGGTAGCTAACGCGCCGACACAGCTCGTTTCGATGGAATACGACCGTTGGAACGTCTGGAATCTTTCAATAACGGAATTACCGGCCTGTATTTGGAATGGGTCAGGGCAGTACGCAAAGCACGAGTCGAAGCTAAAGCGACCACGATCACCGGTAAGTTTACAGTTTATGCTACGCCAGCTCTGTTCACGTTCAGACAAGAAGAACGAAACAGAGAACGAGGTGTGAATCACTTTATTGAGCTGGGTACAGCTGCTTCAAACCCATAACACACTCTTCTTAACGGGGAAACAAATATGGCACAGGCTTTCACAAGCGTGTGTTGCCGTCTTGTTGGTTCTGCTACCTACCCAAGCTGCAACGGCGCATGGCGCAGTTTCTGTACCACGCATGACACAATCGTAACTCTATTTTTACAATACAGACGGTCAGGCTTTGCCCGGGAAAGTCGTTAGAGGAACGAGGTATAGCGACGGCGTTCAGATTTTGTTTGAGTTACATCTACCCCGGACCGTCGCGCGCAGGCAGCCGATTCCCGGCTGTTGGACGAGGAGCTGAGGAGTGATGCTTTGGGCTCGAAAAACGCTGATGAAAATTGATTGGGTGCATGGCCGCCTCGTACATTTCGAGATGGTTTTCTAATGTAGCTCAGGCATCCTGCCAATCAGACCTACAAACACCTGAAAGCCAGTACAACTCAATCATGATTTGGCACAGTTGGAGTTTTATTATATATATATATATATATATATATATATATATATATATATATATATATATATATATATCTCTCTCTCTCTCTCTCTCTCTCTCTCTCTCTCTCATCTCTCTCTCTCTCTGCTTCTCTCTCTCTGTCTCTCTCTCTCTACTCTCTCTCTCTCTCTCTCTCTCTCTCTCTCTATATATATATATATATATATATGACATTATGAAAATGTGTCGGATAAAATATTAGATACAAAATGCATTCTATCCCTGCAAAGAAGGTGATTTCAATGATATTCGCGTTCCATTTTGCTTCCATACAAAGAGTCATCGTTACCTGTTGGGTCCGGATCAGTTTGGACACTGACCATGGTACCATTCGCAGTGGAACCAACCTCCTTATCCACCACAAACGTGATTTCAGTCGCAAGGGACCAACTGGTCCGTGTACGGCTTTCCTGTGAGGCCGAACTGACGTTGAGCTGTATCTTCCTGGTCGTTCCGAGTCGGATGTTCCATCACTGGGACCGTGTCCCCGCAGGCCCAATCCCTGATGCATTCACAGCGATTTTGATGAAACAGACCCCTGCCCCACATTTACCATTATTCACGTTAATCATTCATAAACGTCATCGTCCATCCTTCATTCATGCCGGGATTTATGACAATGATCTTGACCGGGTCCGATTGCTCGCCGCCGGTGATCCCGTCCCATTGACTTTGCCATAAATATCGGGGCATTCGGGAGGTCATTGAGACCACCTGACAATCAAATTCCTTCTATAGTGGCAAAACAGGAAGGGAAAGAAGACCCCGTTTTGAAAATTGGCGATAGCGCATCTGACGCCCTTATTCAGCACGTCCTACCCATGAAGTCTGGCGCGAAGGCAGCATCGTTGAGCCTATCTGGAATTTCGCTGGCCGCCGACCTAACTCCAGACACGAAACATGCCAAATCCACGAAGCTCTCAGTTTGGGACCCTTTTACAAATAAGAAGGGAGATAAAGGGAGAGATAGAGGGGAGTTATGGAGATAACTCCTTTTAAGGCTATAACACCCTTAGTATGTGGAGTTTTGTATTTCCTACGAAAGTTTCGAGTGTGTCCAGCACCGATGTCGCAAAAACTTGAAACCCCACATCACTGATTTTCCAGCACTCATTACGTTGACCCCCAACGGCGTCTTCGCCGTGGCCCTGCCGGTGGCGGTCGGACCTCCCAAGTACTATCTTCTCACCACAATCCCACCAGCGACGGCCCACACTCACCATGATCCTGCCGGTGGCGGCCCGACATCCCACCAAGATCCTGCCGGTGGCGGCCCGACAACTCACTATGATCCTGCCGGTGGCGGCCCGACAATTCGCCCCGCTTCCGCCGGTGGCGGCCCGACAACTCACCATGATCCTTCCGGTGGTGGTCTGGCCGGAGATGAGCTCGCCAGCCCAGTCCTTGGCCTCGGACACGAAGCTGCCCTCGAACTGGGGCTTCTGCCCGGCCGGCAGCGCCGCCGGCCTCGGCTCCTTGGCGCTCTGCGAGTACTCGGGCCGCGCTTTGGGCCGACAGCAGATGAAGCTGGCCGCGCGCCATAGCAGCACCGTCAGAATTCCCGCCACGAACGTGCAGATGGACGACACGAGGAAGCACCACCACTTTCGCTCCCGCAGACATTCCTGGTCCGGGATTTCGGCGTAGGAGGACATGGCGGCGGCGGTGGCAGCAGTCAGGGAACGCGCTCGCGCATGGTGTGGCCCGGGCTCTGGCGGCGGCGACTCAGCGACTGACGAAGGCGGCGGCGGCGGCGGCGGCGGCGGCGGTCGATACCAGACTGCGCATGCGCAGACGGCGCGTCGGTGCCGGCGAAGCCTCGTCGGTGGCGACGAAGTGCGGGGCCGCGGCGCCACGGACGGCGCAATTTTTGGTGACGTATGGCGATGTGAATACTCGCGTGCTTTCATCCGCGCCATGCGTTCTCGTTGCTGATCCATGTCGATCCTCACCCACAGACGATTTTTACTTATTTTTATTTTTGATTGCCTGTCGCCCTAGCATGCTCCCACAATTTGTCGTCGCGCCACGACGTTCGATTTGATATGTTGTTTTTGGTGCCGCTCTTTACGCGGAACCCCGCCGCCCAGCCGGGATGATTTATGGCCGCTGGTCCCGGTGGTTGCTGGCTGTTGGTCGTGGACATCGTGGCGAAGTGGGCCAGCACTGCGACCGGCCATGCTTCGCTTTGAAGTTTCGAAAATGATGGCATGTTAAGCTTGCTATACACACACACACACACACACACACATATATATATATATATATATATATATATATATATATATATATATATATATATATGTTGGAATATTTTGGCAGAATCCTTTCTTTGATACATGTTTGATTAAAAATAAGTGCTGACTCAGCATTGACGAGCTTTTTGATGCATCGCTCTAGTTTCCGGGCCCTTCACTTGGCGTCATCGCTTAAATTAAAGATGGTTCGCACAAAATTACTCATATATTCATCACTCCTTCCATTCTAAAGTTTCGAGATCCTATCTCATCGTCGGAGAAGACTTAATTGCACAAGAAATCAGTTTTGAGTTTTAAAGGATGAAAAATTATGCACTACTGTTGGAAAACATCTTTTGGTACGGAGAACACAAATGAAGCATAACTAACTGAAGTAAGACGGAATCCTATTTTCATTTTCACACATGCAAGAAACACTCATAATGAGAACATCACAAAGACACAATGGGAACACTATTGCCACTATCACTTCAGAAGTGCTCACCGCCCACCACCTAGTAGTTCAAGAGTTCTGCAAGAATTTGTGTCTGTTTAAGGCCGGAGAGAGTTCGTTAATGAATATGCCTTCCCAAATTTGAAGGCGTCTTCTGTCACTGCACGTCCGTAAAATGTCAGTGCTGTCTGTCAGTTGTTGTCGTGTCAATGTCATGTCGTGTTCCTGGCGCATGTGGTCCAGAGGTGCCCCGTCACGTAAGTACACTGTCAGACGTCGTGAGAGTGCCGTTGTGGTCACACCAATGTAGTGTATGGGACGAAGTTTGCAGCCTTCGATGTTGCATTGGAATTCATACACTACATTGGTGCATTTTAGTTTGTCGGGTTTGTCTGGACTGTTTCTCATAAAAAGTTTGATATTTTCTCATTACAATAGTAAATGACAATGTCTGTTTTGTGGTCGTTTTTGCCTTTAACATGTCGAGAGATAATTTCCCGTAAAGCTTTTTCATCGTGCTTGTGGGCAGATGTCATTTGGTTTTGATAGTACAGTTTGACGGTCGGTTGGATGTCTTGCCTTGGTTTGCCCTCAAAGTGTCTTGTCATATGTCGTTGTGTCTTGTTTTCAACGTCAGAATTTGAAAAACCGTTGTTCACCAAGATCTGTCTGATTCTTATCAATTCTGAATGTAGTCCTGTCCAATCAGAGCAGTGCTTAAATGCTCGTCTAATGAAGGACCTTATTACGCTAATTTTGTAGCGTCGAGGACACTCACTGTCAGCATTTAAGCACCGTCCGTTGTTAGTCTGTTTTCGGTATACAGTCGTTTTGAATTGTTGTCCTTGTCCGTCGACAGCCACGTCAGGAAAGGGTATTACGTTTTGCACACTTAGCTCTGTTGTGAATTTTAAGCCAGATCATTCTTCAAAGGTGTTTTTGAGATGTCCTAGTTGGTCAATGTCCCTAACTTCCACAAAGATATCGTCTACGTAGCGGCAGTAAATGTCCGGTCTTATGTCGTCATTTTGTAGTATGTCGGATTCTATTTTGTAGTATGTCGGAGATCGAAGCCGAAGAAGAGGTGTAGCACAAATGTGGGGTATTCGCCATTATCGGGTGTAGAAGGAGCGTGGAGGGAGAGAGAAAAAAGAGAGGGGGAAGGAGTAGGCCCATTGACGGAAGTTTGCATCGCAGATATGATGCACAATTTTTGCGTTGCTTAGAGTAGTCTTTTCACGAACTATTATTCAACAAACAAAATTATCTGTGTAGTGAACATGCTCCACAATACGTCATTGTTTCATGATGTCATCGTACCTCGCACGGCATTCATTGGGAGTTAATTGTTGGCTGTTGTATCTGGAAATCGTGCTCACGAACTCTAGACATGAACGACTCGACAATTATACTTTTCTTGGACTTACTTGCCGCATGGCTAATGGAATGACAGGGTTTTAGTGACGTCATCATGACATCACGGATGCCTTGGTAACCTTGGAATAGTCTTCCGACATAGCCTCCACATCTTTGCGGACGCGCAGCTAAGAAACTAGAAGGGGTTAGGCTTTAAGAAGGGCTGAGCTGTGAACTGCACCGAATGATCTCCAAGATGGCTATTTCAGTTCAGCACCCCATACAAATGTGGTACACTTCCTTTGGACAAGTTAAAGTGCAGCTAAATTAGAACTCATACCTGCTATATTTTAGCAACAAATCGTGGATTTGAATTTTATGTACCGGCTATCATCAACCACATTTTTTCATCACGAGCTTTTCGCAAAAAATAAATATTCTACCCATGTTGACAGTTTTTCATCTGGATACCCATTTGCTTTTCGTGGGTATCACTTAGTCAAACCGCAAAAAAACTTGTCAGCTAGAACAATATTGACTAGTTCCAAGCAAAATTGCATACGTCAACGATTACTATACGTAAGACTTCATTGTTCAAAGTTACCCCCCGCTCATCTACAATGCGCTGTGCGACCCGTCATGGAAAGAAAGCTTATCAAGTGGATTTGGAAAGATCCCGGTTACTCTGAAGACCAGCTTAACTGACATAGCATCACTTTTACCACGCGTTCGCGAGTGCATTGGATTACCCTGGAAGTGCGGTGCCCAGTGCTAGATGCCGACCAGTGCATTAGAACACTGGGTGGACAGGTATCGCAGTGTTATGCATTTCCACGGAAACTTTGTAAAAACACGGATGAACTAACAAAAATCTGAAAACACCGATGAACTAACAAAAATCTGAAAACACCGATGAACTGACGAAAATACTGAAAACGTCAAAGAACTAATGTCACAGGTGGCAAGAGGGAGCGAATGCGAGTGTGCAGGGGATGATGAAGGTCGCCCTAGGTAGCATGACATGATCAGACATACAGTTGCTAAAAATATTTTGGCCCGTCGTCTTTGGAAATACAACGGGCGTTCTCATTCGGCAGCGCGCTTTTGCAACAATATTTTCGAAAAGACGAAGCCGGCGGCGAATGAAGAGGGACGAACGAAGCGTGGCCTCGAAAAGCCCCGTAATGAGATTAAATAACGTGATGGTAGATGGTGCACCCGATGATCATAGATAGGATGGTAACTTATAGATGGGACCGGGCAGAAAAAGTAAAGCTACTGGAGAAATGAATACGACACGCATGGAGGTGAGGCAGTATTGCATGCAACGCCGCTGCTTGCATAAAAATCTACGTCGCCGCGGTGGTCGATTGATGCGACCGATAAGCAACGGACGACAAGCATGTTTTTGGAAGAAACATGGTTCAGCGATGCATGTACATGCCATAATGGCAAGTAGCCCACTCATGCTATTTATGAGGGTGAGTATGCAGCGGCAGGGGAATGCGGCCCAGTGGGAATAATTCCGTGTGATGCCAATTAACAAAACGTTATGACTCAGCTGTCGTCAGCTGTTATTACTAAGGCTGGCCTCACTATTGGACGGGGTAAAACAATCCCAAGAGAATGGGAGCATTCTCACCGAGGACGGTTACAGGGAGAAGGTCCGTAGAGACGTCTGCGGGAGGTATCATTAGGCTTGCATTGACTTTGCCCGATACGCGCAAGACAGATAGTCCAGCTGGGACAGACACTGAAGTCGGTAAGCCTATCTCTAGACCAGCTGCAGCGGACGTCCCAGGCGATCTTGACCTGAAGAGGCCGCAAACTGCCTTATCAGTTCATATATTCAGTTGAAGCGGGCGTCTCAGGGAATCTTGACCCGAAGAGGCCGCAGCCTACCCTATCAGTTCTTATCTGCCTCGGCCAATCTCTAAATTGCCCAGAGGACTAACAAAACAGCTAGTACGATGCCCTGCTGAGTACCGATCCTCTCGGCGCAATTTTTGGGATCAGAAGGCGATGCTACAAATCCGACTCATAATGTCCTGGCGAGAGTAGTAAGTGCAGTGATTGCATTCGCGAATGAGGCAGCTGCCGTAAGTCGTCCATCGCGTTTGTCGTAAACATGTCACAACGGGTAATCCAAGAGAGAGATGATAGCGTCCAACAGCCTTGTGATGACCCAAAGGCCACTCAACCTAATCATCGCCAACGCTGCGAGTGTAGCAGAATGTTCCATGCGTGTCAAGGAGGCCCAGAGAGGCCCTGGACCTCATAGAGGCCCGGGCCCGGGGTTGGTTGCCGACAGCCTCGCCAGGCTGAAGAACCCACAAAGATGATCTGTTCGAAAATGCTAGAAACGTTCACGGCACTATAGCAACGTGCGCATCCGGTTCCAGCGCTACATCACCCGCGTGGTGGGACACATCCGGATCCAGAGCTACACCACCCAGATGGCGGCTCACCTCTAGAGAGTCTGGCCCACCACTGCTGAACCACTTAGCCTAACTACTACCGACCGACGGAAGCGACTCCCACATGGGAGCACGTTCCCAGGCCAAAGACGCTCGCCAAGGAGCTCGCACGACGGAGAGGCAGCGACGAACGACACTGTGCCGAGGCAAGAAGTTTGGAAGTGGAAAAGTCAAATGCCTATCGAGTACATC